CTTCCAACACAAGTTCCAGCCCTTCTGTCTTTGCTTACAGAGCATGCTTTGATACTGTCCTGTAAGGAGATAACAGCCTGCACTATGACTGCAGGCTAGATACTCATTAACGATTTTTTTTCCTTAATCTTCTAAAGGCTAAATGAGCAGATCATTTACTCTGGATAAAGATTAAGCATTAAGCCAAATTAAGCCCAAGCATTCCAGGCTTTTCTATGAAGTCCTCTCCTTCCAGGAACTACATGCTACTAGTCCCAAGCAAGAGCTAAACAACTTGCTCTTGGTAACTGCCAAGCACTACAGCCTCTCTCCTCTCTTCCACCCAGAAACGAAGCTTGCTATTCAGCAAGAGTGCTTGCAAAAGTTCTCCTGTCCATTACTTAGTCTGAACAATTTCGGGGCAGACAGATGGGAAACTTCAGATCATAAAAGCACAGCAGAGCGCTGGGATGAGCTGCGAAGACTCTGACAGAAACACTGTCTTACATTCCCATGCAAATACAGTAAACCAGCACTACAACTTTGAACACCGTTCCTTAGTGAACGAGTTTCCTTCAAGACAAGTTTGCAGGAGACCTAGAGACAACGAAATACAGAGATAATTTGGATGTAACAACACATCCAACCTGACTGAGCTACTAAAGTCATGGCAAGTCAGAAGGAAAGAAAACTCATCAGGTACAAGCAGGAAGCAGAGCAGTGAGAGTGAACTTACCCCCGCATTTAGGATTGGGACAGTTGCTGGCCAAGCTCAGATAGCGGAAAAGATTCTCTGGGAGATCGCTGGGAGCATAGGGAACATTGCGAGTTTTAATTGTACGTCCAGCCAGTTCCTGAAGGCTTGGGGGATTGTAGGTCAGGTCACGGACAAACCGAACCACCAGTGGGTTCCCACGCAGGCTCAGCTCTTCCAGGTGAACCAGGTTAAGGATCTCTCGAGGAAGATAAGTCAGCAGGTTATTGTGCAGGCTAAGGGAACGCAGGGAATGAAGCCTGAGGATGGAGATGGAAAGCCAGTCAAGATGTGCAAGCAAAACCACAACTGCATTTACACAGGCCTGATTACTGCCCCCGCTCCCACCAATTCATTTTTCTTTGGCTTTCCTTCCTTTTAAAGCATAAATTCATGCTAAAAGAGCTGCTGTTACTCCAGCACACACAATGCCCTAGAAAACTTGGCTCAGCTCCAAAATGCCTGTTAAAGAAACAGTGTCTTAAATATGCTGCCTTCCCTCTCAGTATTCCCCCCCGCACTTCCCAAAAAGTACACAAACTGAGTGCTTTCAGGGGAGATAATGTTTCCTTGTACCCAGCGCATGCATCAAGAACAGTTCCATGCAATACTTTGAATAAGTCACCTGCTTTCACTCATCCATTAAAGATGATTGCTGGTAGGCAGCCAGCCCTGGAAAACCCCATGTTTTCATTGCCTGCAGCTGCATCACCTTGTGCTGTGATACTACCAGATCTCAAAAGCTAAGCCAGGTCTGGCTAGGCTAGCACTGGCACAGGTGACAAGCAGTTTTTTGGCTTTTGAAGGAGGCGTTCTCCTCTCTCAGAAAGCATAAAACAATGCTCCAGCACAGCGTCCAGGGATGGTCTCAAACCAGTACAAGTTACAAGACAACTGGACATTGTACATCAAGAACAATCCCACTACATCATCAAATTCCAACTCCGAAAACTCCATGCTGCCATTCAATTACTTTTGAGGTTACAGCTGCACACCAAATCCTTCACCTCCCACCTTAGGCTACTCATACAGAGTTTGCAGTGTCCTCTTTCCCCCATTATGAAATAGATAAAGCAGTAACTTATCCTCTAGAGCTGTGCTGCAGGATTTAACAAATCTGACATCCTAGAGTAAGAAATGCCAAGAGAACATAGGGAACGGCACAACAAAAAAGCACACACAAAAAGGGTTTGGGTGAAAGGCAAAACAGACCAAATATTTATCACTAAGAACACAGTAACATGGCCTTTTCATCTTTTCTGAGTTGCCCAGGTACTTCTCAGAGCTCCCTGTACAAATCTATTAATTCACCTTAAAGTGTATATTTGATGACTTTTTTTTCCATAACCCTTTAATTGAGATTTCCATATTATATATTCATGGTCTGCCTGCAGTGCACCATGCTAAGGATCTTCTTGTTCCGGTATAGTCACATTAACAAACTGAAGGACAAATAGGTCCTCCCAGGCGCTTTCTTCTGCACACACGCAGAAGAAAAAGTTCAAAGAGTTAATTGCAGCTGGTGGCTGATGACAGTAAATACTCACTGTGCCAGCTGCGGTGGAATGCTCTGGATCTTGTTGTCACACAGAACAAGATAGCTTAGAGAAGGCAGATTTGCTAATTCAGGTGGAATTGAAGTAATGAAATTCCCTCCAAGGTATAGAAACTCTAAACTGAAAAAGAGAAGAGAAAACACTGCATTATATCATTAGGGTCATTCCAGTTTCGTTTACAATAGGTCTTCTCATCTCCTGCATTTCTTAAAGACAACTTACAGATGACTATGTACGAGAATCTGCTGAGGGGGGAAAAAGAAAAAAGCTGAGCTGCACATCAAAATTACAACAGAGATGCTGTTTCACAACAGGTAATGTTGATATTTACTTCCAGTGTCCCGCAGTCACCATTACATCTGTAAGTAGACACCAGACAACCATGTATTCCTACACCAACCCCACATGCAAAGCTCCTGCTCCTATTTCCAAGGAAGAGCAGCCTGCTCACACAGGGTCTGCAGCACTGCCGCAGCTCCTGCCACAGCCAGCGGGAGTTCTCAGTTTCAGCAGAGGCAAAGCAAGAGAGCAGTGGCTTTCCCCAAAAATCCTGGCCCTGCCCAAGCACTAGTCACTCTTTACAGTATCGACTCCTCGGTGACTAACTGCAACCTTTCACCAGAAGTCAAGAGGCAGCCAGTCCCGCTTTGATACAAGTCACATACCAACACCACCACAGCTGCAATAGCACAGAGTGCATCTAAGTCACACAAGTACACGCATGCAATTTTCCAGATAGACTGATTTCGGTATACTGAAGTCATGGAGCCCAAAGCTACGAAAAACATTAGCTGGGCTTAACTGCAGTTTGGGCCTAAATAAAAAGAAAAAATCATTGGATGTTCTGCAAAAATTCAGTGGATGGGAGACAGGAACAAAGAGAGGCGCTAGATCCTTCTTGCCAGGTGGAGTAGCCAGTATTTGCTGCGCGTCTCTGCCCTTCTAGGAAGAAAAATTGGCAAGCACTTCTCTTCGACGTAATAGCTTCAAGTCCCCATTTCACAGACTCAGAAAGTTTTCCTCCCCTGTTCCGAGATGCTGTCCAGAAGAGGAGCAAAGGCACATTCAGTTTGGGTACTTCTGGCTCGGAAGACACACCATTGTTAATCGTGGTCCAGAGAACTCCTTTTCCCTTGCCTGAAAAAGGTGGATCCCACGGTCCTGTCTGCAGATGCTGGTTCAAGATCTCCAGTACATACTTAGGTTAGCTGCTTAACTACAATGTACACTGGCCTCCTCAGATGCACCAAGCATTCCCCACAGGTCAGGGAAAAAGAAGACACCCAGGCTTCATCAGCCTTTCTTTAAGAACGGCTTATAACCTCCTTGGAAGGAGACACCTTCATGTTACTCCAACTGAGAAAGGCTATGGATACAACTGCCAAAGAAACACACAAGCAACCAAACCACCCAAGGGACATGGTGGTCGACCCAAAGAAGGTCTGAACCCTGCAACTGTGCCACAGAATGTGTGGAGTGCCAGAGAAGCTCCTCCCTGAGGCTTCCCTGGGATGGAGGAGGAGAATGGCAGAAGGAGTCTATTTCGTTCAGTTCTTGCAAGAACCTTGAATCCCAAAGATCCAATGACAGCATCTGCTCGGGCTACAGGGGCCACTAACACAGCACAAAGGTCCATCTACCCAAAAGTGAAGAACAGAATGACAGAGCTCTGCAACACACCAGGAGATGCTCACAGAGCTTAATTTCCCCTGGATTTGCTTACCTTTTTGGAGTATGTCAGAGGAAAGCTAGATAACTGAAACTTGCAAACTGGGCACAAAATTAAGCCTTAAACTGAATTTGACTATACGAAAGGAAGTAACTCTAGTTGCTTCAGCTGAGAGATCAAGTGGGACAGTACATTTGGAGGTTATTCTAAACACGCAGGAAGGTACACAGGAAAAAAACCACCACCAAACCCCACTGCTCAAAAGCAGCCACTCTTCTACACAAACAACCTGTAGGTTAGGAGTGGGGGTAGGAGGAAGGCTGCTGTGCAGAGACCACGTTGAGGGGAGATTATTTTTAATTAAATTTTGATCCCCAAACAAAAAGTTTTAACCAAAATTCCTCCTTCAACCTCCATGGCTTCCCAAGGTGGATTTAGGCTGCTTGACTCTTATTAGGGACTTAACTGCTGACCATACAATTCCTAGGCATATTTTAGCTCCATGCCATTGCTAGAGCCCACACCGAAAACTGTTGGGCAAGGGAATTCTAGTAATGTGGGTTTCAACGTTTAAACAAGGTTTAGACATGCACAAGTTTCCACTTCCTAGGAAGAGTGAATAAGTAACTCTTCATCCTCTGTGTTTGAAGACAATAATGCCTGTAAAGCCATGCTGCATAAAACACATACTACCAGGGAAGGGGAAGAGAGGTGCAAAATATATAGTAAAAGCTTATTTTGAAAATCATTTCAAGGCACGAAATGCTTAAGTTTCAAGAGCAGTGTACTGCGCCAAGCTAGGTGTGCAAAAACACTGCCTACAAACTACTTACAGCTTTTCAAATCCATTCTTTGTAAATTCTATGTAATCAGAACACTCAGTTATACTAGCTAGGATATATACTCCCAATATCAGACTACAAACTGTCTCTGACTAAAAATCTAGTAAATAAGATAATTCCTTCAGTGACAACAAAGGGCTTTTTACAAATTATTTTCTTTTTACTTATCATCTGAATCACCTTTTTGAGGTCAGTAGACTAACAACGCACCAGGCCCAGTCTAGGACAGCAAATTCAGAATTTCCAACATCCACTTAAGACATGAATTAGATGGTAAGTTTATTTAAAAAATACAGGGACAATGTTTTGAAACTACAAAGAAACTTATTTTAAACATAGCAAAGAGATTCTTACAGCTTCCACTGCAGCCCCGCTCAGTAGACAAAAGAAACCTGTAATTCCCATTCCCCAAAACACAATTTGCTAGAAAGATCTAGTCGAGTCTTGGCTGATCAAGATGAAGAAAACAACAGCAGCCATTTCTGCATCAAATTAAAGTGTCAAGAATTGTTTGAGCAGAGCTAATCATGACACAGGCAAGGATTTTCAAGAGACACAACCCTTTTGTAATCAGAGCTCACCACACCACTGGGGCCACAGTTCGCTCCCAGCTCATCTACTCCCAGCCTGATTTTCATGCCGTACCAATCCGGTACCTAGAGACCAAGGCAATGCTGGCTCTTGAGCTGTCCTACTCGGGGGGCAGTTTGCTGCTCAGTAAGACAAGCCAGAGCACTGCCGAGCTATGCCCTCCTCACAAAAGCGCCTGCAACAAGACAGTCCACAACATTTACCATATCTTTTCACAGGAGGACCATGGCAGAGACGGGACTGAGCTTAATGAATACTTCTAACTAACCTTTCACCACTAAGGCCCAGATTTTCTGACAATCATTAATCGGTATAGTCATTTGGACCAGCCAGCTAAGGTCTCCTGCATTGCTGCGTACACAGAGGGAGAGCTGGAACTCTTCTGTACTTTCAAAAGTCACTCCAGGAACTTAGAAAAGCTAGAGAACCACCAGCCGCAAATGAACGTAAGCTCAGCTCCTATTTTTGAAGTTAGAACCAACGATGTACTTCCAACCTGCCACACAGGCTCTGGCTGAATGAATTTCAAGAGGGGATAAACATGAACAAAACCTATCCCAAAAAAAAAAAAATTAATCACCCCCCTTCCTCATTTGCCAAGAGTAACTAAAAGGGGCTGACACCTTCTCTGTTGCCTTTTAGCAATGTTTACAGATACACTAATAAAAGGCCAGAGGCCCTTTTAGCTTTGTATCCAGCAGGCCTCTTGCTCAGCACAGCTGCCGAGCAGCAGCCAACATGCCGGGCCCATCGTGTGCTGCTTCTCTCTAGTAGGGAATTTCACACCACCGGGCTGTAGGGTGGCTGCGTAAACTCTTTTACGTAAGAGAAGGGAGTGGGGCAATGCTCAAACAACTATGAATCGATCCAGGTGGTGGGAGTAAAGTTTAACATGCCAAGAGACTGTACGTTCTTGCTTGAGTACAACTTTGAGGTTTCCAGGTCATCACATAGCACAAAACAAATCAAAAAGCCCCAAAACACTAAGTAAGAAGAGAACGTTCTGAGCACTAGAGGTATTTTTGACACGCTGTCAATTACTACAACACTTGCATAGTCATGTTTCAAGACGAGAATGTCTCCTGGCATAGATCATCAAATTTTCAATCTACCTTATTTCCCCACAGATGCTTCTTTGGATAAAATTTAACAGCTGACATCAAACAGATGCATCTAAATAGGTAATCTAAAAAGAAACAATGGAGCCTGAAATAGCTCCAGGTCATTTTAAGATAAACTTTTTAGCAAGGAATTTCCAGGGCAGTTTTGAGGCTCATGCAAGAGAGGAATTTAAAAGCAGCCCACAATAGACTCCTGTTAACCCTGTTCTACGATTTGCTAATTCCCGAGAGAACTGCATAGCCTTTGCTGACACGCAAATTTCAGATCAAACGATCTTCTGAAAACTATTTGCAAAACGTTTGAAGAGGGGAAGAAAAAGAGGCAGCAGGCAGATTTCCTAATGCTGTATCTTTATCAAAGCTTCACTTGCCGTTTTTCCCACACTCTAACAGCCGTTCTTAAGTGTGTGCTCATCTAACATGCTTAATACTACCCACGAATAAAAGCAAATACTCTGGTTTTCATTGTATCTAAGCCTTTACACAAAACTTGGATGAATCCAGTTAGGCGTTTGAGGCCTTTGATCCCAGCCCTTGCACAACTGGGCTTTACTAGAGGAATCCAAGCAAGAAGGAAAGGAGCATGCACGACAGATGCCTGGAAAGAGCCTGGCTCTTTTCCAAGTTCTTTCTGCCGGCTCCTGGTGCTCTACTGAGCGTGCGACTATTCACTAGAAGAGTAAGACTAAACTCAAAATTCACATCAGGAGATTCAAGGTATCAATTGCATTTTGCTAAGCTGTTCTTCCCTCTACAGGACATTTTGCAAGACATTTCCCAAGACATTTCCCCAAGCCTGCGCACTGATGAGGGCAATCCATGCGCCCCGAAGCCAAAAGCCACAGTTGGGCAGTGAAGATCAGAGCTGTCTTTTACCAGACTTGCCAAACAAATGTTGTCCGAGACGCGCACAAGTAGATGACCGCATTTCTAGCTCACCAGCTATAATACACAGTGCCCCTTAGCACATCCCCAGCTGGATCAGCAGAGGAAGGATACACGCAACCAACGCGGCAGTGGGATGTCGCTGCAGATCACAGTTCAGGAGCTGCTGGGGGCTGTGAACTGAGTCTGAGAGTGACTGACCATAACATCTCACACTGAAAACACAGTCAATGTTGGAGGGAGAACCACGGAAAGGACGACACATACCTATGCTAAGCTCGTCTTTTATCTGGCAACAAACAGGAAAGCAATGCAAAGAGGGCTGCTCTCAGCCATCTGGTGCATTTTCTACTCTAAATTCACAGCAACAGCCAATGCTGCAATTCAGATCTTGCACTGCACTGACACTGCCAGCTGACAGTAACTGGGGGTGGTGGGCATACAGAAGGAGCTGGAACAGCCTCCACATGATTAAAAAAAAGCCCTCAGCATGGCCCACACTTACCTGTCTCAGAAACGTAAGAGGCTGTTGCAGGCCACCATAGGCACTTAAGGTGAAATTAGGAGGAAAGAGCATTGCATTTTCCTAATGGAAAGCATGAGGCAAAGGCTATTCATCCTTGGTGCCGGCATGCTAGCATCAGCATCATCCTGCTGCCAAGACCAGAGCAATCATGATCATCTACTTACAAAGCCATGTGAAGAAAGCTTCAAGCATCAGGATGCCTATAGGTGGTCCTTCTACAACAGTCTAGGAGGTAAATGCTAATCAGGTGAAAGGCACTCACTTTCCGTGCAGGATCTTGCACCACACACAAGGATTTGTGAGGGCAAGGATGGGGCACACGGCTGAAGCTGGAAGGAGTAAGACCAGGCAGCAGCAGGACTGGCTGTGGTTCTTATCACTGTTCATTAACTTGCCAAATCACTAGGAACATGCTAGGGAAAAGTTTTTGCACAAAGTGCCTGGACCCAGCTTGCTGCAAAGTTGTGGATTTATTATCTTCATGTAAGTAACAATACATGGCACACATCTCTCCTTCCAGGGCCTCTGCATTTGCAGTTGTCAGCATGTTCCTTCTCCTTCAGCAGATCAGACCCATGAGCCTTCTATTCTTTCAACTTCACCACACTCCTTACCTGCTGAGTTCTTGGCCTTCACTAAAACTGATGTGCTACCCCTTGAAAAACTACAACAGGAAACTATGGGGTGCAGAGGAAAGACATGAGGCTTTAAAAAGTCTCATCAGAGCTCAGACATTCCCTGGAAACCTAAGAAGTATTTCTAGATCTCTACAACTCTGCTCAGCTCTGTAACCAGTGACTGGAGCAAATGGGAAGCTGCCAGGGTCACGGGAAGAAAATAACTGCTGGCCTCAGGAACTCTAGCACCAGCAAGCGGAACGTGTCTGGTCAAAGTGCTGCCTGCATTCCTCTGTGGTCTCAGAGACCACAAGACATGAGAAACGTTTCTTTTCTGGGAAGTTGCACATGGAAAAAAGCTCAAAATCTTTGCTTGCCAGCAACAGTGAGATGGACACTTTCAGCTTGAGCTGTGAGGTTAACAGAAGCCCCAACACCTACACCAGGTCCCACCCCCCAGCCTGGAGTTCAGAAACTAAGAGATGTCTCCGTGTTGCCCTGCCACTACAGCTGGCTCTGCGGTGCCTTTGCTCAGGCTTGTTTTACTGATTTCAACACTATGCATGCTCACACTGTGGACACGTCTCTTTTTGGCAGGTGGAGGGAGGAGGGTCTGGCAGTAGTTTCTCTTCCAGTACACATTTACTACCTTTTTGGCAAGGGTGTCAGGTCACTGGTTATCTGGCTCCCAATGAATAGATTCAGGATTCCCTCTGGAGGAATATTAAAGTACCGTTTTCTCCCAGCTCTGGCAAGCAAGTGTGCTGCTCCCTTTGGTTACTTAGGCAGTCCCAGATACAGAAGAGTCACTGGTGGCAGAGTGGTAAAGAAGGCAACAATCCTGGTGGAGCAAAGGATTCGCTATCTTGAGCTAAAGTTCAATTATATTATGGTGGCAAGTTAGCAGAAGTCCAATGAGTTAGCAGTGATTATGCAGGTGGGAGACACAAGCTGGGTCTAGTCTAGTTTTATTACCTGACACATCACTTTGTTTATCGTTACAGACAGTTCAATAGCCTTGTCCGGATTTGCCCTCTCAGAATTGTCATTCTGGGGCTCGAGCATGACCAGCCCAAGAAAAGCTGCAGGACAGGACAAACAGGAGGCCTGCTTCAGGGCAGGCCAGAGGAACAAAGCAGAGTAACCATGCAGCAGTAGTCTGACAGAGCTGCAGCATGGAGCACAGCACATAGCCCAGTGGGGCATCATGTGCAGTGCTACGCAGCACGGTACCTTCCCGGGGTCAGCAGCATAACAAAAAGCAGGGCTGAGGTTTGTTTTCTTGGGAAAGAGAGAAACGACAACCACAGACAAGAGCATGTAAGCAGCAGCAGGGAGCCTCTGCCTCAGAGGTGGGCGTAACATTCAGATTCAAATCACATCCTGGATGCTACCAGGCATGCTATGGAGGCAATGTGGATCATCTCCCACACACAACTGCCCTCCCTCCATTGGCCTCCTCTCCCATGAAGTTGGTGCCACTGTCCTTTCCTTCATTACCCCTGAAGCAACTGCTCCTGAACAGAGAGCATGCTGAGGTTCCTCCTCCCTATGACAGCCCCAACCCAGGACACATCCTAACTCTGCCAAGGACACAGGCATTCTCTAGCACTCAAAATGCCTCACATCCTCTCTCAAACTTAGCTTAACCCAGGATTGCTCCAGATCCTCAACAGGTGGTACAGTGCATGCTGTACCACCTGGGCAAAAGCCACATAACTCAATGGTATTACATTGCAGTGGACAAAACCCAGTTCCCACGAGCACACGAGCAGTCCTGCTACCTCCAACCTAGGGCTGTGGAAGACAGCAGCCCACATACAACATCCTGTGCTTCCACTGGATGCAGCTCTGCTGAGCCACCAGAGCAAATCCAGCTACTTAGGGTCAAGGTTGCTGGAATTTGCATAAGAGACACTGCCTCTGGCAAGCCCCTTGGCAAAGAGCTGGAGCAAAGAAAGTTCAGACCCAGAGTCTTAGACACAGGGGCTAGTCTGAGGGTTGAGAAGCCAGCAGAACACAGCAAGGTGCCTGCGTTAACGCGTGGGTCAGAATACTGTCTGCAGCTTGCCCAGGAGGACGGCAGGCTTCAGAAGTACCTATCCCAGGTCAATGTGGGCAGTCAATACCCAGTCCTATCTAAGACCTGTTCCCACCCCACCAATGTTCCTAACTGCTGTGATTCAGCCATAGGTTTCCATGTCATCGGACTGTGTTGGTTTGATCTGGCCCCAGAGCCAGACGTACCACTGCACCTGAGCACAGCCTAGGGCTCTACACTTAGAAGATTTGTCAGCTGATCTGTCAGATCTACATGAGCTGGATGGAAAGAGAGACATAAAACAAAAACCTAACCATGCCAGCAAGCACCCTGATGAGACTGGAGCTGTATCAGCAGAAAGGCCCTATTGTTTGCATAAGCCACAGGGAGATCTTTATTCTCCGGTGCGGTCCACTGTGCAGCTGTGAGCTGCATGAGACCAGGGGGTTTATTTCGGTCTTGCCTAGAGACCTGTATTAAAGCAAAGCCACGGTGCGCCTTCTGCACGTCAACGCTCATACCAACCACGCTGTCATTAGGAGAGCCTCCCCTGCACCAAGGCAGCCCAAGGACTAGAAAAACCCGCAAGAGTTGCCCATTTGGCGAGCGCAGAAGGCCCATGGTCCACCCGAAGAGCGGCTCCGAGTTTCGATAACTCAACCTGACGGACGGGAAGAGACACGTTAGCAGCAGCAGTGCTTAGAGACACCTGAGGCGGGACAAAACTCACTCCCTGAACAGGAGCGAGACACGAGGCGCTGCTGCCGGCGGCGCCTCGCTTCGCGGCGAGAAAATCCGGTTGGTTCCGCCGGGCAGCCGCCGGGGCTTTTCTTGTCCCCCCGGGCAAAGGCCCGTCCCCAGAGGCGCCGGGGGCCCGTCCCGCCCGGCGCCCTGCCCTCACCTGCGGAGCTCCTGGATGTCGGGCGGGATGCCGTGGAGGCGGTTGCCGCCGAGGCTGAGGCTCTGCAGCCCGCGGAGCCC